CTCTCTCTCTCTCTCTCTCTCTCTCTCTCTCTCTCTCTCTCTCTCTCTCTCTCTCTCTGTCTATATCGATTAAATACAAAATATTTGCAATATCGCAAATTTATATCTCGCAAATTATTTGAGTATTCCAGTTTTGTGATTAATATATGCATTATCTGTTGTGAAAATCAACAACATATGTCAGATAGGTATTAGTTAAGCATTATCTGCTATTTTTGATTCTCTGGTACTGTAGTACCAGTGTAGTACAAACAATACTAGTGAATCTGAATATCGAGCCATTCTGTCCTAACGCTCAAACGTGTGCAGACTCATTATTATATCGTTTTTATTTACAATAATGTGCATACAATTTCGTAAAAGTAATTCCTATCGCCCAAAGAAACTCGAGAACCATAAAAGCACGAACTGCCGCTAATTTCCAGACTTTAGGCTACCGTCGTGGTATACTGGTCGTTAAAGCGAGAGCAATCAATAAGCGGCCGAATGGAATTATAAAGTTTATGCGCGCGAGTTCACTATGAATCTCGTAGTGACTTTGTCCGAGAAATTCAACGTAGTTTCAACAGCGAGCGACAGCTACAACGAAAGCGCATACTTGTCCGCTTTAAACGTTTAGTTAAACTACTCGTCTACGTAGTTCACGAGACTCGCAAATGCGCAAGAGAAGATTGGAAGAGGTCAAGGCAATTTATTTATATTTCAATTATTGTCCTATTCTAGAATAAGCTTATTAAATCGTTTTGAAAATATTAAATTTTTTCTCTTATACGTGGATAAATTTATTTATTTTTTATTATTTATCATGTCTAATATTGTTCCTTTTCAACGATTTAAGGAAAATTAATATTTTGTGTAGTATACTGCGTGTTTTTATGCGCAGTGTGGAAACGTTTATAATTTGCAAGTCTTTCCATGAAATCGTGTGGAATATGCTTTAATCACAGTAGGACGGTAGGGATTCCTCTCCCGACTAAACGCAGGTATTCGGATTTCGGAATTAATATCACGTTCCGGCGAATGTCCATCAAGATTACATGGGCGGATATCTGGACGATCGCAACGTCGAGGTAGAGTGCGTAGTGCGTTTCGATGTACCTATATTCGTCGCAAAATTGATCCCTGAAATTCGAGCCATTCGACGAAGCCGACAGAACGACGATACGATATGCCTGCACGATGATCGCACACGGACGAACGACAAGCGAAACCTGTCGCTGGCATCTCTATCGATGGATCGTCCTTTACGATATGAAACGATAATACAACTATATTAACCAATATTTTCTTCTCATGATTTCATCTTACTAATGGTCGAGTGCGAACCACAAAATTAAATAATCAAGAAGAAAGAGTTCATTAAGAAGCGCTCATTTATCTTGGGGAAAACAATTGCTTTTTTAAATAAAAAGAAAATTTCATTAGGAAGTGTTAAATTTGAGGCTCTTCATCTCGGAACAAGATAATCAGAAAATTACACCATTAAAATGAAATCCGTCGATCTCTCTTTACACGACTCTAAGTAACTAAAGTTCTTTTCTAACGATTCGATAATATAATTGAAATTTTCCTAATTTTATATTACTTAACGCGTCCAAACCAAAATATTATCCCATCAGTTCGACGTGTGCTAGTATGCTACATAGTTTTTCCCGTGGAATATATGTTAGAAGTTTCATCAACCGAGTATCGATTGGCTATCGCTCGATTCTATGCCAGATAGCTAGATCAGATTAAGATTCTTTTCGTGTAATGCATAACGACACGATTATATTATTTAGTCACATCTAACTGTGATTATATTTTCCGGAAATATACACTTGCAAATACGTACCAACACGTTCGTGCTTCTACTATCGGAAAGTTTATTTTTGCAGATTTATTTTCCTTTGAACAAATCTGTGCCTCGTACTTATTGATCCCGCTGACGGTTTGAGAGCTAGACGAGCGACGTGCTCGGACGCGTCCAAATGTCCAAAATACATTACACCACTGTGCTTTTAACTTAAAATTATCGGGTTAAACAAACATGATATAAATCAGACTGTAATGTGACTGTAATGTAACTTATTAATATTGATTACTCGCGATATGAGCGCTTGTATGAACGCTAACATGAGTGATATTTTATTGATATATTTTTGGCTTTGTAAGTGGATTCTTCTTTTCCTTGACTGGGTCACCAGAATCCTCTATATAAATCAAACGGCAAAAGTGGATGATTAAAATAACGACGTAATTCAATAAATACGCCTGGCATAATGAGTTTCCGTTAGCGAAGTGGAGCCGGATGCAAGATTTTCCGATAATTTCGCGTGTAGAGACTTTTTCATGTACGTAACCGAAGCGTAACGGAGCTAAAGTAGATTTTGCGATGCGATGAAGCGCATTAATCGAGTCCAAGAGCGCGGGGCGTGAAATTTTCACATGCGAATTCAGTGGCAATTTAATGCATAGTATCATTTATTATTACATGTATTCTTGCTGATTCGCTCATTTATTTCGCTCGTATGTATAACGATAAATAAAAACAACAGCAATAATACAGCAACAAATGAAAGGTCTAACGCTTTAAAGTATCTAAGATATCAAGTGCATGTGTGCGTATATATGTCGATAAAAATTTAGAATTGAAGGATAAGATTAGATAAAAACATAAATTTTTGAAATATCTACTATAAGTCAGGATGTTTTAATTATTTTGAACAGAGATGAGATTTATCTCATTACTTCACCATTATATTGTATAATCTTTTTATATAATCGTTACATGTACGTGCGTATATGTTTGATCCGATTATGTATGACGTAAATTTTGAAAGAGGATTTAGCGGATGCGATATTTTTAATTCAACGATGAAAAGTTGAAAAAAGAAATGAAAGACCAAAATATTGTGGAGAGATTATACGCCTGAATACTGCAAAGCTGATGTACCTGCTGCTTCAAGCTCCTGCGCACAGAGTTTATCAACCACCGCGACGAGAAGCGACGAAACGAGATGTGTCGAGAGGAGAGGAGAGAAGAGGAAAGGAAAGCAGCAGAGGAAGGAGGTGTGGTTACGCATTTTAGATGCACTTATCAGACTATGTAGAGACGCAGTTTCTCTGAGGCACCGAGATGCATATTGCAAAGGGCTAAGCCATCAACCGTTGCAGACACATGTAAAACGAGTATATACGATCTGAAATAGATAATCCGCTTATTCACTATTTTTCTCGATATGAGAGAAATATTTAATTCCGTAATCAGGAGCAAAGAATAATTCAGAGAACAGTTAATGTAGATTATATGATGGTTTGTAGAACATTATATTTAAAATTCTACAAGCATAATAAACTCAAATTTAACCGCAAAAAGTGTACCTAAACGAAAAAAGTTTAGAATAAGTTTAGAATTTGATATTTATGACAATTATGAATAAAAAGAGAGAGAGAGAGAGAGATGTTTTAATAAACATATAGAGGACTTCAATAATTTGTTTTTCTGTTTTATATAGATTTATCAAAACATGAAAATATGATGACTCGACAAATTAATCGTACAAT